TTATTATTATTATTATTATTATTATACAAGCAGAGATCAATGTCATTTTGAGTTTTAGAGATAAAACATTACATTTAAAATTGGATTTAAACCATCAAGGAGTAAGTATATTGATTAAAAAAAAAAAGTATTAAAATAGAGATAAATCCTTTTATTAATTAATCATTACTACTTAGATCCAAGCAAAAACGAAATAAATTGAATAAAAAGATATGTTGTATTATTGTAAAACATTCAACATGGTGAATTGTTTTCAACACCTACATGTGAATTAAACAAGTGATAAATTTTCGCAAGTCAAAAAAAAAAAATTACCAAATTATGTTTCAGTGAATTCATTAGGTGTGAAGACAGTGATAATTTAATGATAATAACAGTTGGTATTTTATGTTTGCTTAACCCTAAACCTCATTCTTTCTCTCGCCAAAATTTATAGCACAGCATTTTGTAGATTTTTAAGTATTTTTCTGTAATTTATTCGTTAATTTTGGACAAAAAGTACATAATTTAACACTCCCAAAAAATCCTAACCATAATTTGTTAAAAAAAAGAGAAAAATTATGTAGGTTCATTTTTATAACAGGTGACAAACTCGACTTTAAGGTCAAAGGGTAAAAGTAACAATAGATACTTCTTTATTACATGGATTAAAAAAAAATTTCAAAAAAATATATATCCCTTCAGAAACTAAATTCCCATTCTGTCTTTTGTTTTGTATTGTACAAGCCATTTCTGCCACCAAAATAAAAAATTTCTAATGCCTTTTGTTGATATTTTATGCCAGAAATAACATTTTTTATGCTAGAATTTGCAAGGAGTACTTGATAGACATACGTGGCTGTAAAACATGTTACATACATGTATGTTGCACTAAAGCCTACCATGACTTGTCAATTACACAGTTCTAGACTCTGAAGAGACAGTTGTCTATTTCATAAAGCTTTTATATTTGATAAAATCATACTTACCTTTATTAGACTTACCAAATTAGTGTGAGCTATGTGCCTGCACCACTAAGTTACTGATAGTCACGAGAAACTAGAATACATGCTAGCCTAAGTGGTCTTAGTGATCATGTTTCCACTTGCTAGGGAGGCTGATCCTAATTTGCATATTGGCCCTATTCAATTCAATAATAGAATTCTGAATCATCCAAGATACAAATTGAGTAGTAGGTATTATTTTATATATGTGCAAACTGACTCTTTGCAGTTATATTTATCTGGACATTAAGATCTGTACTATTGAGAGTAATTAGGTTTAATTAGTAATTAGTGATTAGGTAAGCTAATCTTTAACAAGCAGGACTTGCTTTAATACATGAATTCAGAGATTATTTACAAAACATTATTGGGGTTCTGTGACTATTATGTGGAAGTGTTTGAGGTTTGAAGGTTGCAGTTCAAATTTATGATGGTCATCACGCAGTGCATGTTCGAATTGTATTTTACACGCATTGTATTCGCCGCTATGGGTCCCATATTGAACAAAAAACAGTACGAAGACAACCACCCGTTAACAATAAATTTATTTTGCAAAAAAACAACAACATCAGAATGAACTATAAAAGGAAGAAGAAGGCGTAATAAATAAAACCAAACTATAGTGCAAAGCAAGCTTTATATTCACAGAGAAATATGAAAAAAACTAGAAACAGTTTCATTTTTTTTTTTTCAGAAAAATAGAAACTCAATTTATATTTAACATTACATATATACTGACATCACAGCTTTCTTGTTTGGATATGATTATTTTTAAAACAAGATTTTTCTGTCTTCGAATCGAATTGAGGCAGTTCAGAGTTAATTAGTGAATTGTAAGTCAGTAAAATTACCACATATAATACTGTAATGGTTGTAATCATTTTTTTTTTTTTTTTTTTTTTCATTTCTGGTCAACTTACTTCCCAATTTTCACACACATATTTTTAAAAATGTTAAGTAGTTGAAAAATGTCATTTAAAATATTTTTTTTTCTATTTTTTTATGAAAATTGAATTTTAATTTCTCCTAAATTCTGATAAAGTGCCTAAAAAGGCTGTGTTTAACACATTTTCAGCTGACGGCCAAACCTAATTAATCTGGATGCTACAAGAGTCAAGAGACAACTGAATGAATGTCACTTACCTTTAATAACGTCACTTCACAAGAGATAACATTAATTGAACAGCTGAGTACAGAATGTTTACGAGATCACACCAAAAGTCAAATATCCAAACCGCTGACTTGCAATGGCCAATAAGCATCTGACAGTGTTTGATATTGATGAAATTAGAGTTGGTTGTTTCCTGTGAAATTTAAACATAATACGTTAACAGCTGCCCATTTTCTCAGAAAACGATGACTTAAGGTATCAGAGTCTTTTTTATACTGAATTAAATTTTATTGATTTTTAACAAAATTGAAGTGTCATGAATACCTATTATAATTGTATAAAAGATATAAAAGATTGTGGCATGGGTTTACTACGATAGGACAGTCCAATATAGTGTAGGACAAGGTAAGGCCAGGTGATATAAAGTACTTTATTTTTACATATTTTATATATCAAGAATTAAGTAAATGAAACAAGTCACTGTACTCAGTTCAGAGAAAATCGACCAATAACATACCGTGAAAATAGCATATGTTGTCTGTGTGACATTTTACCATTGCCAAAATGAGATGTAAAAAAAATTGTGAGTGGCATTCTACCTTAATGCGCATGTCTGCTTTTGACAACATTCACAATATATTTTGTTTGTTATTTTGATCTTAACCTATAGCTTATGGGTAATTATGTTCATTTAGTTGAAAATTAACAAGGAAATACAAGAAATACAAATATTTGACATTATTTATTTATTTATTTATTTATTTATTAATATTTATTTATTTATTCATTCATTCATTCATTATTCATGTAAGGTCTAGATTAGCTGACTCTTTTTATCCAAATTATTTTCTTTCCTCTTTTTGCATTTGTAGTTATTTATTCTAATATCTTTCACTATTACTTATTTATTTCTTGTTAAATACTAGTTCATTGTTATTAATACATTTGGTTAATAAAGATTATTATTAATGTTGTTTCTAATAATATTCCAATTGAGATCTAGTACATGGAACTAAAATTTTGTATTCTTTCAAAGTTAGTCTTATAAAAATAGAAAGTTATCATGACCACACACAAAAATGTTGACAACGCTGACAGCCAGAGACAGACACTGTTATGACTTAACTCTACATAATCATCTTTGGGAAAGGACAATAATGCACCATGTATTAATGATTGATCAGCATAGGAAAACAGTCCTTTATTTTATGATAAAATGTTTATTAAAATTTACCATAAATTTTCTTGCATTAAATCAATGCATATTAGTTTTTTTTTAGTTTTTTCAGTGTGTGTGTGCTTAACAGTTTCAGTTTACACGATATCATAATCAAATTTGGTTATCAACCTACAGAATCAATCAAAAATATTTATATTTTTATTCATATTGCGTCTTTAAAAGGCCGAACAGTAACCTTTTCTGGTGGAGACAGATTGAATGGGTTATAATACATGTAACCTACAGAACAGATATATGTAAATATTGATGAGAAAGACTTTAATGGCCTTCCGGTTTTAAGAATACTTGAATTCAAAAGCACTCCAACCATACGTACACTGCTTAAACTAGTCTCACATTACAATTTTGTAAAAATTTTACAACACACCAGATTAAAAGTAAGACAATTTATTAAAACTAGTCAGCTATAAAGAAAAAAAACAAAAAACAAAAAAAAAACACATGTGTTAACATAACTACTAATGGAAAAATTACACAATAAAAATACACACTAAACAAGCAGCCTATCGGCTGAGATAGCTCCGCTGTTAGCAATGCACATTTCAATTAAAGAACTGAAGACATCATTAGAAAATGAACAATATGAATAGTATCAAAGCAATCGGACTTACAGTTTTTAACAAGAAGTCGAAAATATCACTTTTTACCAAAAATTACAAAAATATTCACCAAAATAAATAGAGAATTGAAGATATCATCACAAAATGAGCAAATCTGAGAGAGGTCCACATGTAGTACCTATATATGTAATATCAAAGCAATCGGACTTACAGTTTTCAACAATAAGTTGAAAATATCACTTTTTACCAAAAATGACAAAAATATTCACCAAAATTAGAGAACTGAAGATATCATCACAAAATGAACAAATCTGAGAAAGGTCTACATGTAGTATCTATATATGTAATATCAAAGCAATTGAACTTTTGGTTTTTAACAAGAAGTCGAAAATATCACTTTTTACCAAAAATTACAAAAATATTCACCAAAATTAGAGAATTGAATAAATCATCACAAAATGAACAAATCTGAGAGAGGTCCACATGTAGTACCTATATATGTAGTATCAAAGCAATTGGACTTGCGGTTTTTAACAAGAAGTCGAAAATATCACTTTTTACCAAAAATGACAAAAATATTCACCAAAATTAGAGAATTGAAGATATCAATATGAAATGAACAAATCTAAGAGAGGTCTACCCAAGGTACATATACACCAAGTATCAAAGCAGTATCAGGCTTGTAGTTTTCAAGAAGTCGTCGAAAAAGTAAAACATTGACACGAACGACGGACGACGACGGACAATCACTCATATGATAAGCTTAGCTCGACAAAGTCGACAGCGGAGCTAAAAATTGGGCAAGGGGTCACCCTTCAAAACTCCCACTAGTGAGCATTGGGCAAAGGTGTTCATAAATTGCCATGCCATACAAAGGAAAAGCCAGAAAGTGGGCGTTCGTCCTTGTAATGGGGGACAGGATGAAGTCCTTTGCCCAATAGTGGGGTAAAAAATGACCAGAAAAGGAGGTAAGATGGGGATGGTTGGTGGGTTAGCCGACAAGAACATTCACGCAAACGAGTTGCATCAAAGAATGAATGACACGATTTATAAATGGGCTAAAACAAAGGAGAGACGCTATGCAAGATAGCACTGATTGGCTAATAGAATTACATTGATTGGCTAAAAAAAGGAGCTCTGTGAGTGGTCAAAATTAATGCAAACTGATTGGTTAACTCAAAAAGGTGTGAATCCTTGAATTGCATCAAGCTCAGGGGCTGTGTCTATTAAAACTAGTCAGCTATAAAGAAATAAAAAAAAAAAAAAAAAAAAAACATGGGTTTACACAAAATTACACAAAAAAAAATACACACTAAAAATTGGGCAAGGGGTCACCCTTCAAAACTCCCACTGGTGAGCATTGGGCAAAGGTGTTCATAAATTGCCATGCCATACAAAGGAAAAGCCAGAAAGTGGGCGTTCGTTCTTGTAATGGGGGACAGGATGAAGTCCTTTGCCCAGCGAGGGAGCACGAAAGAAAAAGGAGTGAGACTGAGTGACCCCCATGAAAAGGTGGGAAGTGATGTTTCAAAAGATGATGTGTGGGTAACAACAAGTCAGGGGGAGGTGGGACCTCACAAAAGCACTCCAACCATACGTACACTGCTTAAACTAGTCTCACATTACAATTTAAACTGTCCATGGACAGTAACGTAAACAGGGCTAATTTACACCAATAAATCAGATACCTGATGAATAAAGTGTTATTAGTACTCACTGGACTGAAACAGGGACCTAATTTTAAGGTTTCATCTGTCTGTCTCTATCCATCTGACATTATTTCTTGAATATTTTGATGGAAGTTTTTCATTTAGTTAACAAAAACAAAAGGTTTTCAAGCCATAGGCCTTGACAACCTAATAATATCGTTACTGCATCCTTAGAAATAACATATCTAACAATATGTACATGTGTATATAAAAAGAAAGTAATATTAAAAGAAAAAGTCAGTATTACAAATTAAGAGAATGCTCATTATGAATAAAATCACCTCATAGTAATACCTTAATTGTATTTTTGTCACCACTTTTCATTAAATAAATCAATTTCTATAGATTAGCGATCTTTTGAGAATATAATATTGAAAAGAATTTCTTTTTGATGGGTTTGGTATTTCGGACATATTAGAAAGAAGTGTATTTTTATGTTTGGCACTGGGAGAGGGCAATAAAGGGTTGTGTGGAAATCATAATGGTCACCATCATATGAAAATTTCTGCTTACAACTCTTTGGATTGTAACACGATCTAAATCCTAGTTTAAGCCAATAAAAAAATTTTGTGTTCAGTGCTGATCTCCTTTGTCAAGTACAACAGCAAATATTTTGTTGGCATCCAGAGAGGGAACAGTCAACACACCTTTATGGAGAAAACGTAAAGATTTCATGGATTATTTAGATTATTAGATGCAATATTAGATTTTGAGGGCTGCTGAGTCAAAAGAAGTACACTAAATTTATTCTATTGATTTATCTCTTGAGCTAACTGATACCAGACATTCGAATCGAAAATCGAGCATGCACAGAATGACCAAAACGTATAACACACGGATTTAAAAAAAAAGCGTTTTAGGTAGAAATTATCTTATAACTTTGTAACTTCTTGTCCTACATGTATACATTTGTATCAACACTATTGATACCCAACATCTAACAAAAGTTACAAACATAGTCAAGCAATATCTATGATAAGTTTTCTATTAGTTGCACCCTGTTATTTTTTTAAAAAACAATAACAGTTTACTGTCCTCTGCCAATTCATTTCTCTGGCACCCCATTGGTGGAAAATGGTCACATGTTTAATCCTTTGAACTGAATTTATCCCACCAAAACAACAACATGTCTTGATCAAAATGTTTGAAATCAAATTATGAGTATTTGTACTGTGAAAAGTGATCAAAATTTACTTTGAAGGTTAAACGTCAAAATGTTGAATTTAGTGTTTTGTTTCTATATTTTTCACTCTAGCATGAATTCAACCACTCAAAAACATAATTCAGGTACCTTCAAAAATAATAATGTTTTTATCAATCAACCTTTTCACTACCAGACTTTCTCACCCAAATTTTTCTGCACTTTTTTCTTATATTCTTCAATATTTCTTGAAATGACTCTATTTTCAGTTTTTACTAATCTTCTGAAGGACTATAAACGAGACAATTTTGTGAATTTTTGATGAAAAGCGGGAACTGGTGGTGAACAGGTTAATAGTGGTATTCTGATTAATATATGAAACTGAATTTTTAAATAAAAATAAATAAATATTTATTTATTTAAGTAATCTATTTTGTACAGTAAATTACTTTAAGAAATAATGGTAACATATCTTCTATGGAAGTCATCGTCATTATTAAATTGTTGCATGCTGAGCCGAGAGATTAGAAATCAATCACATCG